CTATAAACACGGCTATGACCAGTGGACATTTCAAATAAAAATCACAAAACCATGTCTGTCTGTCTGTCTGTCTGTCTGTCTGTCTGTCTGTCTGTCTGTCTGTCTGTCTATCTATCTATCTATCTATCTATCTATCTATCTATCTATCCATCCATCCATCCATCCATCCATCCATCCATCCATCCATCTTCACTCAAAAATGATAGATGAGTGCAGATGAGTTTGTTTCTTCATCCGAACAGATTTAGGAAAAAAATAGCATTACATGACTTGCTTACCAATGAATCCTCTGCAGTGAATGGGTTCCGTCAGAATGAGAGCTCAAACAGCTGATAAAAACACAACTCCAGTCTATTACAGTTTTTCTCAACTGCTTTGGCACATTTTTCGAAACAGTCTTAACATTCTCTAAACTGTGAGTGCAAATGTCACAACTGTTTGCTGGACCTTCAGAACTTTATTGCATGTCTGCAAAATGTAGTTACTCACCCAAAACATTTCATTCATGCTTCAAAACCTAGTTATCGTGTCAGTAATTTGGCCAAGGCCACCAAAATATAAAGTATTTTTGTCATCGTGTGAGCCACACTGGTCAAAATGTTTAGTTGTTTTTTCACCATGACAGTCAACCATGGAAATGAAGGTTTTATAAAAAATCTGATATTTGTTGAGAAGAGTCAATAGTACATAGAAAAAAAAGTATATGAACATTTGTATTTATGAAGTACATTTATTTTTGTTCGAATCCATTACATATAAGTGAAATCTTGCTTGTCCAATTACTGTACATTTCATATTTCTTATGTTACCACAAATCCACAAAAATACTTATTTTGAATACTTCAAAAATTATTCTTGGTGGACATCCTGTCGCTCTTGTTGGTCAGGTCAAAGATTTTCATCAACATCACATCTGATGTTTTCCATTGCCATGCACCGAGGAAAAAAATCTCCTTGAATGCCGCATCCATCCCCTGCAATGATCAGCTGTGATGTCCTCACATGCAGCATTCATGGCATCCAACAGAGACATCTGATCTTGTGGTCTATGATCATATACTTTCCACCTCCGTGCTGAAAAAAACTCTTCTATTGGATTTAGGAATGGAGAGTATGGTGGAAGGAACTCCACTGTTATCCTTTCATGTGCATCATGGAAGCTGATATTATCCCAGACAACAACATAATTAGGCAAATGTGGTCTAACTAAACCTCTTTCTTGTTCTGGAATCAGGTCTCTGTAAAGTGTGTTTAGGAAGGCCAGGAGAAGTTGGGTATTATAGGGCCCAATATGTGGAATATGTGTGCTCACACCATTCTCTGAAATGGCAGCACACATTGTAATATTGGCCCCACGTTGGTATCGCAGCTCTTTCACTCTTTCACTATTCCTCTCAAATGGCACCTTGTAGAGTTGTTTCATAGTCATTTGATGTCTTTTCAAAACTCTGTCTATGGTGGAAATGCTGACAGAATTTATATTTGTGAAGACATTATTGTCATTTATGATTGCACTTTAGATCTCTCTTAGCCTGACGGAATTGTTGGCTATGACCATGTTGCAAATTTCTTGTTCTTGCTGATGGTTAAATACTGCTGCTCTGCCACCAGCGCGAGGTTGTTGTGCGGTTCTATAGAATGTACAAATAGACTTGCATTTACCTTTACAATATTGTTGTTTATAAAAATGCTTTACGTACTGTAAAACAAAAAAAATAAATACATATTAACCTGTTTTCCCTACGAAGGGTTTGCACAATTGATGACACTGTGGACCTGTTTACATTAGGTTGTACTCTTCCACCAGCCTCTTCCATTGTAAAACCACGATTTATGACATGATCCACAAGTGTGGCTCTGATTTCATCAGAGACTCTGACTCTTCTATTTCCACCTCTTCCTCTATTATTTGATCAACAAGCCATATGCAATTAGTTGTTGTGCAAACTGCAGACAATTGTACTTACTGTTTGCACACATGTGCCAAAGCATTTGCAATTTGCTCAAATCACTAAGAAATTCCAATCTGATGTGAACAAGAAGCTAATTGTTCAGAGATCTGAACTTATTGTTTCGGGAAAAAAAGTTTAATTCGAGAATTGAGCCAAAGCAATTGAGAAAAACTGTAATGAATGTCGTTTGAAGCAAAAAGCTGTGTGTTTGTAATAAATCTATCAAGACATTTTTGAACTTCAAACCCTTATATCACAGCTAAAATATAAATCCCCTATCCATAATATTGCTTTCTCCAGTAAAAAATAATTTCCTCTGAATAAGAAGAGAAATGTTCAAAGATCAAGCACTGGTTACAACTGAAAACAGCCCAAAACAGTTCTAAACGAATACAAGGATTTTGATGTGAGAGGAAAACAGGAGATGGACTTTTTCACTGGAGGAAGCATATTTACGGATTATAGACTTGTATTTTGGCCAGAAACTATGGTTTTAATTTAAAATGCCTTAATAATGGACTTATTTCTTACATGCCTCATTCTGGCAGCACCCACCATTCATTGCAATGGATCCATTGATGAGTTGCTAAATTTCTCCACTATTCCGATGAAAAACAGACTAATCTACATCTTGGATGGCCTGAGGGTGTTTTCATTTACTATTCCTTTAATTCCAGCCTTCAATCATAATGGAAACTAAAGGTACTGCTTGAACCACATGATGACCTTTGCCCTCCCCTCTGTGGTCTTGCTTCACTTGAGGAATTGCTCTGGGGCAAGTCTGCCTGATTGGTAGCCAGCCCATCTGGAAACTGCCATAAATCTATTGAGGAATCAAATTAACACTTACAGAGTAAAACGATTAGGAATGCATTAAAGAAAAATCTCATCAACCAATATCTAAATACACAGGCCTGCTCTTAAAACAGTATTCACGGCTAGATTAAAATATGCATATAGAAATAGTTCAGTTACTCAAATGCATTGCCTAGGAAAGTAACTGCAAGATTTCTAATATTGACATATTTCCTATTTGGTCTTTCTACATGCGAATATCAATTAATCTTGTTAACACTGTTTTTTTTCCCTTCAAACAATGAGGTGGATCTCTTAATCCTCATACCCATTATAACCCCTCATTTAAGTACATATACTAACTCTAAGGGAAGTTCTACCCAACTTCATATTAGGTGCTCCCAATTTATGCTTCCTTGTTTCATTGTCTACAATATGCACTTTCATTGACAGGAAAGGCTTCAGCGTCTACTGTCTTCCTGTTCTTGAGGAAGGTTTTGTGATTACACACTGAGTCAGCGACTGCAGTACTGATTGACTCCACAGATGTGCAATCTATGAATCATGTGAGCTTTAAAAATGTGCAGTGCTGCTGCAAAGTGCACTTACTGCCAAACTTGCACTGCATTCAATGCGGAATAGTAGTACATTTTAAAAATAATTTTCCTTAATCAGCCGATTTCTTTGTCTTGTGTTCCAGTACAATTATCTAAACAACTAATTTCTCAATGATGTTTTTTTATCTTCTAATGTAATTTTGCTTCTCAGGTAAAGGTTGTTTCAATATTAATTCAGTAAAACTACAAAATACTGATTTAATCTGATTATTATTTTTATTTTATTTTATTGTTATTTTATTTATTTATTTTAATTTTTTCCATAAAAGCACAATGACACATTGCAAAAATAAATTATTAAATAAACAACGATTTCACTTGAAAAGCAACACTGCTTAAGAGATAAAGACATTTGTGCAGTGCATTTACTTAGTTGTACGCACACCCATCATACAATTAAGCGTCTTTAATCTGTGGTTTTACCAGCATGGCCTCCTGAACATGATTTTCCTCTTACCTCAATAGATGATTTGATTGTTTTCATTTGTGCATTATGCTCCAGATACATTACTCCCAGTGGAAAATGAGGCACATGCTGAAATCATGGTGATTAGCGTGATATTTCCCAGGGTGTTTGCATTGCAGATAGAAATCTTCAAGGAAATGTCTGAGAAGCTATGATGACAGAAACACTATTATGAGGAATTCAAAATGGTTAATCATGGGGAAGTTAGCTAATGCTGCAGTCCCAGGCCCTAACTATTTTTTTAGAGTGTAGTGTGTCTTTTTCTGGATGCTTAACAACAGTTGCTTTATGCCATGCTGTTTCATAGGACATGCTATCCACATTGTAAAATTAAACAGTGACATTGTTTGGATTTGTAAATAGTAACAGCAATGATGTTAAAACGATAGATTCAACTTTTTAAGTGCAAATCATATATTTCTTTTTGTTGTGTCTATACGGGAAATACGGGACTACATACACATATTTTATTGTGCATATAAAGAAAACCATTGCTATTGCAGAAGTGTTGTTCATATGCATTTGCCAGCTCTACTGTGTGTTGCATTACAAGAAATTATGGCTACTTTAGGGATCCTATAAAACACACTGATGTAGACATTTAACAAGCTCAGACAATATTTTCTCAAGAATTAAACAAAAAAAACATTCAGGGTATTAAACGACATCATCTGCTCCTATTATTGGGTTTATATCAGCTCCACGAAACTGACTAGATGGTTTTGCTATCTGACCTCCTGGGCTGTTCTGGACTGCTCTGGTGTTGGAGTCATTAAACTGATGGTTTTTTGACTCACGTTTACTGTGCTTGGGAATAAACCAAGCTCTATTTTTGTAAAATAGATGTCTAGTCTACTTGCTTGTCGAACCAACAGCTACTCTGTACTGATTCCAGTAGGTTACTCTCATGCACTTGACCACGGTTTAAAGACAGAAAGAAACTCTCATGGAGCCAGACCATGTGTAAAACTCCTCACAATGTCTTTAAAGCTATTTATAGTATTTTATAGTAATGCAACAATGCATTTTATTAACAATAATAAAAGCATCCTGTAAGGAATAACATTCACTATAGCCTTTTAAGTGAATCACTTTCCTTCTAAACAGCAAGTTTATGCAATGCTATACAGGGTTATAAAATACTGGACAGCTTTTATTTTATTTCACGATGTATCAGAACATCAGTTTCAAGGCTGTCATTAACACCAGTAATTAGATATGCTGTAACTCCAAGCAACACAGTGTACCTCAAGTTAACGATATCCAGATATCAAACATTCATTCTTGGCCCAGATAAGAATGAATTGGCGGATCTTGAAATCATCATTTCTGAAAAGCCGACATGCTTTTTTTTAGACTTCCAACAATGCCAAATTCTTCCACCCTCAACGGACGTCTAGGAGCCCAGATCGTCTGCAAATCAAAGTATAACAGTCAAGTCTTGAATTTATGCTAATTGAAAACAGCTCAAATGACTTAAATGGCTATGCAACATATATTTCCATTAGGCTCCATCTTAAAAAATTTGTTGTTTGGTCTAGTGCTGATTGAAGGTGCTCACTTGTAGAGTTACTATTTAACATGATGATTTTGGAATAAATCTGTATAAACAATTTGAATGGAGTATCATACGAAGTTTAGGACATGACTCAGAGCTGTTTGTTTGGTGAGACGCCTAATAAGAAAGAGATGGATGACTGCTTTGAGATCTAACATGCACAGTTGGCATAGAGATGGATGACAAACCACGTGGTGGTTTTGGCCTGCCATGGGAGATGTGTGGGTGAACACCAGACAGAAGTCTGTCCAGCTGTTTTGAGTGACCCAGTTAGTGAGTGACAGGCTGAAGAAGAGTCTATTGTCTTTTATGTATGTATCTGTGATGAGTTTGAAAAGCATGCATTTACCAATGAAGGCTTGTGGTGAGTAGGCTGGTGGCCCATGATGAGGAAAGTCCACAGCATCACGTCTCCTCCTGCCTTCTCTCTTTCTCTCACACTGTAAGAAAAAATCTGTAGAAAAACAGAAAAAAAGGTGCTGGTAAGTTTCTGCCAGGTCATGAAGTTTATGGACAATAACCCTAAAAAAACAATGCAATGCATAACTCAAAATGCAGTTAAAGGGGTCATATGATGCTGCTAAAAAGAACATTATTTTGTGTATTTGGTGTAATGAAATGTGTTTATGCGGTTTAAGGTTCAAAAAACACATTATTTTCCACATACTGTACATTATTGTTTCTCCTCTATGCCCCGCCTTTCTGAAACGCGTTGATTTTTACAAAGCTCATCGGTCTGAAAAAGCGAGGTGTGCTGTGATTGGCCAGCTATCCAGTGATTGGCCGAATACCTCAAGCGTGAGACGGAAATGTTACGCTCCTCACCATATTGTGATGATGCCCTGTCAGGCCGGAGCGATGATTCAAAAACATGAAAACCCATTATAAACATTGCATTCGTTGCATCCAGTGGGGACATAATTATGGATTATAATGACTTGTACTGTCTTTTTACGCGTTGTGTTGCATCGCGCCACGTAAACATAAAACCATGTCTACATTTGTGATCGGAGAAATGACAAACAACAAGTGCTACTCTACACTGCCCAAAAAACTTGCTTTAAATATATAAAATATAAAAACTCTTTAGAATATTTGGGTTGAACTGTTCTGGAACAGTGTTGTAAATACAACTTAACCACTGATTTCTAGTCGTGTCCTCTTTTGGAAGACCAAACAAAGTAGTTTCGCTTTCACAACGAAACACACAGCATCTTTACGACATGGTGGCGGCAACAACAAATCTACAGCGAGAATAAAATTTACGCCTTCTTTCTTTGCGTGAACATTTGGGCGGCGTTATGTAAATCTTCCCACATAGTGATGTAGATATGGGGGGTATGTTAGAACGAGCCGTTTTAGGTAGGTGTGGCTGACTCTTAACTTTTATAAAGAATATCTCTTTGGATTTGAGACTTTAGTCTTTGCAACTTTACAGATCTTCTTTATGCACCAAGAGCTTTTAACACTCCAAAGAGAAAGGAAAAATTTTAATCGCATCATATGACCCCTTTAAAGCACCACCTCTATTCCCTTAATTGTAATGGTTATTTCTGATTTAACAGTTGAGCTGCTTGTGATGCAGCTGTACAGAAGAGGTCTGTTATATGTAAACCTATGTCATGCACATACAGTGAGCGAAAAGAATAATGCTGTCCATGCTTGCTTTTGCCCTGGAATGACAATGACCTGCCTTCCTCTGGACTGGCTATTAGGGAAAGACCCCCCCCCCCCCCCCCCCCACACACACACAGTTTCACTCTCTTCACTATTTCTCCTTGATTTCTCCCTACTTCCCTCTCTCCCTCTTCAGGAACAGAGGCATGCTTCAGGCCGGGTCTGGGAGAAGAACAGACAGGGATAGGCCTTTGAAAGAACAGTATTGTGAGGTCACATTCTTCCCAAATGCGAGCGGGAGCCAAGTCAGTAGCTGTCGGAATTACCCCATGAATCATACCCATTGTGATGCCTACTCCAAGATGAGAACATGGAAAGGAATTAGGTACGGCTAGTCGTGTCAGTCCTCCAACATGGACATGTGTCCACAGCGACAGGGTGATGTTCATGTGACCGTCAATCAGAAGAATTCCTCCGCTGCCATATGTTGTTACTTAAGGGCGTGCTGCTGCAGCCAAGTGGAGTGTGCTTTTCCATACACACCCGTCTTCCTGTCTGTGCACTTCCTCCCCTTGCCGTTACCCAGAGATCTTTGTGGTGGGTCCTGGAGTTCAGGCAATATCGACCGTCAATCAGAAGAATTCCTCCGCTGCCATATGTTGTTACTTAAGGGCGTGCTGCTGCAGCCAAGTGGAGTGTGCTTTTCCATACACGCCCGTCTTCCTGTCTGTGCACTTCCTCCCCTTGCCGTTACCCAGAGATCTTTGTGGTGGGTCCTGGAGTTCAGGCAATATTAGGTTGCACCTCTTAAAACATGTCAGCTTTGTGGTGAAAATTAAAGAATGGAAAAAATTATGAAACGTAATGTTTTATTGATCCTTTTCTTCAAGTTTCAACTGTTAAACACAGAGAGCGAGAGAGACATGGAAATGGAAAGACAGTTTCGGAGGAGGCGTGCGAGCGAGGCCATCGCCACTCACAAAGGGTGGTTTTTCGACAACTTGGATTTATTAAGCATGGCGAATTTGCATGGAAATTGTTTTACCTCCAGTGTCTGACTCACTGTTTGGTCTCAACGGCGGCACTTTGATTTAAAGGAGTGAATGCTGAGCTGGAAGTTTTCAGGGTTTTACAGTCAGACCTTTGTTTTTGCTCCTCTCCTGTTTTCACTTTCGCAAGTTCGTGTTCTGATGAGGAAAAATGTATTTTTACGAAGACCTCCAGTGGAAACATTAAAACACATGTTGAATATTAGATACACAGATACCTTGTTAGGAGGCCCTAGATTGCAGAGCGAAGCCGTACCCCCTTTGAGCCGCTGTATCTTCACGGCAGGCCTGGAGAGAGAGAGATGCGAGCGAGATATGACAAATGAACTGTGTTCTGCAAGTTGAAAGAGAAATGTGTTTGTCATTTTAGTTATGGAGGATGAAAGAGGGAGAAATCAACAATGAGGCAGTGTAATCTAAACCACTTTACAATGGAAAGAGGCACGGTCTCTCCCAGGATATGGGAGGGGAGAATGAGGTTAAGGAATAATCGACTGGACCATTCAGATTTGAAGACATATGAGCTGTATGTCCACAAAGAGCTCCGTCCTCAAGGAATCTGATGATGGATGAGCACAGTGCCAAAAAAAACATTCTGAATGAAGAAATAGTGCTCTGAACAGGAAAACACACTGGCAGGAAATTTCATGTCATCATTCTCCACAGACCCCAAAAACACAAGAGAAGGAAGAGACAGGGTGGAAGGAAAAAGAGAAGTTAGGGATTCTCTGAACTGCTGTCTGTCAGCAGTCGAGGAAAGGACGTGGTCTATATGTGCGAGTCATTGGTGGATCCTGTGCACCATGCCTCATGTGGTCCTCCCTATCTCACTTGGAGAAAATGTACCACAAGGGTGCATTACAACACGTAGGCTGCACAGCTTACAGGGTGAAGACAGGTGGAGATACAGGATATCAAAAAAGGCAAAATTATTATTAGATACTAAAAGTGAAGACTAAAGGCCTTTGCACACTGAGTCTGAAATTTTCGCACGTTGAAAAATAAATACGACCTCACGCTGTGTCATCACGTTTACACGCTTCCTCTGAAACTTTCATCCGTCATAATAAAAATTCGGATCGGGTTCGATTTTCTGCATTTTTCGCATCCGTAGCAAGCATTTTGAGAGATGTTTTGACAATTCAGAGCCACCATACAAGCGAACGCCAAAATCCAGAATGGCGATTGCCAAATTCATCCACTTCGTCTCGCAACACAAAGCACCGTAAAGATCCTTGCACACTGAGTTCACAGAAATTGGTGGTCTTCTTTTTAACATGTGGCTCTAGTATCGCTAGCAAAGCATCAAACTGAGCCACTGACATCCTGAAGTAGACTTTGAATCGCCCGTGATTGGATGGACCCAATATTTCCTTTCTTTTTCTCTTTTTAAGAAGAGAGAGGACAACAAAACCATCCTCAATGCTTGAAGACTCCATTTAGTACTGTTTTGCGAATTTTTTCACAACGGATTAATTAATACGCATCGGACTCAGTGTGCAAGGTTTCTGTGCGTGACAAATTTTTAGGATGACGAATACGAAAAAACGCATACGCAAAATTTCGGACTCCGTGTGCAAGGACCTTAAGAGATGAAAACTGACATTTGAAAACAATAATAATTAATGCAAAGTAAACAAAAAGGGTATGCAACACTTTGAAAGAAACACTACGCAATTGCGCACAAGCCTATAGACTGAACACATAATAAGCATGTGCATGACACCACCATATTCACAAATTTGTCTTTTTGTAGTTTACACAATAAAGGTGCTTCACGATGCCATAGAAGAACCTTTTTCGTCTAAATGGTTCCATAGAGAACCTTTAACATCTGAAGAACCTTTCTGTTTCACAAAAGGCTCCTTGTGGCGAAAGAAGGTTCTTCAGATTATAAAAAAGGCAAGAAAGAGATGGTTCTTTAAAGCTGCAGTCCGTAACTTTTTTTGGTTGAAAATGATCCGAAATCAATATTTGAGCAAGTACATAACCAGCCTGTCACGAATCCGGTTCATGAACTTCCAATTTCATTGACTCTCGCAGTACACACTGTTGCACATCACTCCGGACTACATATCCCATCATTCATTGCACTGATTGCACTCAGCACTGATTGCACACAGCTGTTTACACTGATTGCACCCAGCTGTTTCATATCACTCCCTCACTATTTAACACTCACTCTGTTCCCTTCCCTCTGTCGATTATTGTCTAGCGATTATCACTCTCCTAGCGATAGCTACTCTACAGAGCCCTAGGTCGTTTTTCCCAGCCTGAGTCTGAGTCTGAGTCTGAGTCTGAGCCTGAGCCTGAGCCTGAGCCTGAGCCTGAGCCTGAGTCTGAGTCTGAGTCTGAGCCTGAGCCTGAGCCTGAGCCTGAG